TGCTTAGGAAGTTTTCTGCCATCACTTCTGTGAACAGTTTTTTTATGTCATCTGCACTCTCTCCTGTTTCTTCATTGACTCTGATCAGTCTTATGTTATTCTTCTTTGCATCATCTAGCAGCTGCTGGATTGATTTCTCGTGATCCCTTACTATTTTAAAGATATTTTTCTTTTCCTGGTCACTAATTGCAATCTTATCTTGTATATCTGAAATTCTACCCTCACTTTGGCTCATTCTGCTGCATAAACTTTTAATAGAGTTTTTCTGTTTTATGGATTCCATTTTTTTCCATGTTGGGATTCCATCATGTTCCTCAGCTCCTCTACTTTTTTATCTGTGTCCTCTCTAGATTTATTAATCATGTCTTGCACTATGGACACAATCTCTGCTGATATCTGAGAAATTATTTCTGATTTCATTTTTTCCAAATCCTCTTTGGTTGCCAGTTCAGGGAGTCCAGGTGGTTGAATATCAGATTGTTCCATCTTGTTTCCCTTTGGGATTGCTTTAGGTGATCTGGAAGTCTGGTTTTGAGACTTGTTTATGTGTCTTCTCATTTCACGGGGGGTGAGGGTGGGGTGCTACTGGCACCTGTGCAGCTCACCTCCTCTGCGCTGGGGGCAGCTCTGCTCCTCTGCACTCAGGGCAGTAGTACGTCGGCCCAGAAGGTTCACCCTATCATAATTTTTATTTAAAGGCAGAGACACCAAAGAGCTCATTTGTTGCTCTCTCTGCATGAACACAAAGGTCTTGGGGTTGAGGCCTCAGGGGTAGAGCACCTGCCCAGCATGCACACAGGCCCTGAATTTGACTCACCACCAAAAAAAGAAAAAGAAAATTGTCATGTGAGAACATGGTAAGGAGGCTACCGCCTGCACACCAGGAGGAAGGTCCTTAGCAGAAACCGAACAAGCCAGCACCTGTGCCTGGACCTCTCAGTCTCTACAAGTGTGGAAAATTAAATTGCGCTTGTCTACCCCACGCAGTCTGTGGTGTTCTGTTATGGCAGCCCAAGCAGACAAGCACACGTTCTTATTCCTCCCTTGTATTTTACCTGTCACAGTTTTCCCAGTGATCACTCTAGGGTGTCCCCTAGACATCACCTGGGATGTCCCCAGAGGCTCCTGTGTTCAGGCAGCCTGACCCCTAGATGGTGGGCCTTGACAGAGGAAGCGGGTCACTGGGCCTGTGCCCCTGAGGGTTTCTCATGTCCTTGGCTTCCCTCGCCTCTCCCTCTTCCTTTGCCTCTCCACTTCCTGCTTGCTAGCTCCCATGAGGTTAGCAGCTCCCTCCACTTTGCCCTCTTCCACATTCACCTCCTGACAGGGCCAGAAAAAGTCACGTGACCAATGGTGGAAACCTCTGAAACCATGAGCTGAGGTGCATCTGCCCTCCATTAAGTTGATCTTCTTGGGTATTTTGTCATAGCAACAAAAAGCTAAGACAGGCTACAATATACATCTTGAACTTACGGCAGTATATTTGAGCTCATGCTGACTTCGTTCCAGTGAAACATAGCAATGCTCCCATTTCCTCCTCCTGCCCATGTAATATCTGTGTATAGACATACGTAATTTACATATGTTATCAACCCAACAACAGTTTTGTCATTATTCTTTAAAAAAACCTCTTGGGAAAATACACACATATAAACACTTGTCTTTTATGTTATTACCATTTCTAGTGCTTTTCGTCTTTTCTGTTACTTTCTACTTTTATTTCCTTTCAACCTGAAGTCTTTTTGCATTTCTTGTAGGAAAGTTCACTAAGAATGAGGTCATTCAGTCTGGTTTGGTTTTGGTTTTTTGTTTGGTCAGTTGGTCGGTCGGTCAGTCACTTGAGGCAGGGTCTTCCTATGTAATCCTGGCTGGCCTCAAATTCATGTGATCCTCGTGCCTCAGCCTTCAGAGTGCTGGCATACAGGCATGTGCCATGACATCTGGCATTGTTTAGTTTTTGTTCATCTTTGATTATCTTTAGTTTGTCTTCATTTTATTTTTTTATTTTTGGTAGCAGGGATCAAACTCAGGACCTTGTGTTTATGAGCAAGTGCGGTGCCACTGAGCTAAATCCCCAGCCCCTAGTTTGTCTTCCTTTTAAGGGCAGTTTTCACTGAATAGAGTTTCTTGGTTGACTGCATGTCCCTTGCCTGGCTCCACTCTTTCTGTGTCTTTGCTGGACGCTGCCTTCTTCCCCAGGCAGCGTGGGGTGGGTAGAGCACGACAGACCTCCAGGGCAGATGCTTCCAGTCTTCATCTGTCCGGCCCTGAGCTGGGGAAGCATTTCTGCAGTTGTGTCCAGGTTCAGACTTGGCCTGGTAAAGATGGTTTGCCCGTCCCTGCTTCACCCCAGCAAGTGCCCGGGATGGGTAGTGAGCTGCGTGTGGGCACACACACCTCCTGTGTGACGCACAGGTCCCTGGGCAGCATCCTGCCCTGTCCTCAAGCCCCGGCTCCCTGTCCTTCCCACCCAGGGTGGCCTGGTGTCTTTGTGTGTGCAGCACTGCAGATCAACTTGCTGTATACTCAGATGACCAGATCTTCTCTCTGTATGTGTTGTGGTATTTTTTAATTTAAATTTTCAAGTGGAAATCTTTCGGAAATAGTTTTCATAATGTCACTTTCCTGAGCGGAGTTTTCCACACCTAGCCTGAAGGTGTCACAGGCACAGGACCACTCTGATCTGCTTCTGGCTGGCTGATCCCAAAGACCTTGCTCGCCCCTGGTGCCCCTGCCTCTGCAGTGCCCACTGCCCTTCCAGCAGGACCCAGCAGTGTGTGGGCCATGGGTGCAGTTGCCCCATAGGGTACCATGAGCATGGTAAAGAGCCATCCTGTGGCCTCCACAGTGGGCACATCACCTGAGCAGAGGCACCTGTTTATGGTTCCAGGTACTGAAACACACCAGGATTTGTTTAATCAAGACGGTGAGGTCTACTTGAAGGCAGAAGTTTCACCACATCCCAGGGCAGGAGGCCGGGTGCTGCAGCAGCCACAGGGGCAGCCAGCTGTCAGAGGCAGGCAGAACCTTCCTGTGGCACTGGCACAGGCAGCCTGATTGCTTTGCGGGCCCAGGGTATGGCGGCCCCAGTGGTCAGGACCAGAGTCTGGCCTGCTGGGTCTCATGTCGGGTGAGCACAAGATAAGCTGGACCCGAGTCCAAGGGGTTTCCTGGGAGGGTGGTCCTTGCAGGCCAGCAAGCCCCCACAGTTCTGACCACACATGTAAGCCCAGGGATAAAGACAGGGCTAACTCGGCCTGCCAGACTACTCTGCCTCCGAGTGCTCAGCCACCTGGGAAGGCCTTCAAAGAGCAGTGTCCTCCCATGGTCCAGAGGGCAGAGCTGAACCCGACTGGTGTGGTTGCCTGTGACACCCAGAGCACAGGCCAGTGGTAGAGCCACTGTTCTCAGGCGCTGGGGACCAGGCGGGTTCCCCAACCAGGGTGGCCCTGGAACATCATCACTTCGCCCTCCTCTGTTGCCCAGCTGACCAGACCCACGCAGACCCTGCTGTTCTCCATGCTGCTGCAGCCTGTGTGTGCAGGACATGCTGTGTGGCCTCCTGGCTGAGCTGAGAGCTGGGTCAGGGACACTGCAGTTCAGCAGCTCCAGTTCCAGCCCTGACACCAAGCTGCTGGGGCTTTTTGTTTTGGGGGGTTTTGATTTGTTTGTTTTTGAGACAAGATCTCACTATGTAGCTCAGGCTGTCCTTGAACTCAACTCTGTAGCCTAGGCTGGCTTTGAACTTGTGGCGATCCTCCTGCCTCAGCCTCCTGAGTGCTCGGATTATAGATGTGTGCCACCATGTCAGGTGCTTGGTAGGTCAACAGCCTCATGATGCAGGGCAGCAGTTGTGTCTGTCTTCTCCCATAAAGCCTCCAACAGCCTCACATGACACTGTCATTCCTCTACAGGCAGTGTCTCCTACTGGGGCCCTCAGCATTCAGGCCTGACACTTGGCCCAACGCCCAGCCAGGCGAGCATGGCGAAGGCTCTCAGGTAGTGTCCCCAGACGGCGTTTTCTCAGTGGGTGGAGAAGAAACACAGCCAAACTCTCCATGACCTGACTGTGAGAACCAGGACCGATGAGTCTGCTCCAGTCTGTAGTTTTGAGTCAGGCTCTGTATGGACAGCGTAATGTTTTGCATTTTTGAAGCTGTGCTATACCTTAGATGAACCATGTAATGACTGTACGATATTTCTTCATGAGGACAGAACCGGGGTTGTTTCCTGTAGATTTTGGGGCATCAGTGTCTCGCTCCTGTCCACTCTCCAGGCCGTCTGGAGGCACATCCCAGTAGACCAGGATGTACAGAAGCTGGGCCTGGGCAGCTCAGGTAGACCGTGCCTCCAGGCCCGAGGTAAGGGAGAAAGGAAGAGGAAATGGTGGCCCACGGGATACAGACCCGCGAGACCAGGACTCGCTCACTGGACCACAACCTCCTCTTCAGTGGGTGGGTGCCTCACTTGGTCTGAGCATCGAGGGCGAGCCCCTTCCCTGCCCGAAGTTGCTGAGCTCTGCTGCCTGTGGCCTGCAGCTTGTCTTGTCTCATCTCTGCCAGCCCAGCTCCTGGAACTCATGGCCATCCACACCATCTGCCTGGCAGACTCCTGTGACAGGAGGCCTTTGCCCACCCAGGACCACAGCCTTTCCTTCCTCAGCACGCCCTGATTGGCATCACCACTTCCACCTCATTCACTGTCCTTTTTTATTTTTAAATTTCGAGATAGAGTCTGGCTGAGTTGCCCAGCAAGACCCAAACTTTTAATCCTTCTGCCTCAGCCTGTTTCAGGGCTGGAATTACAGTTATGGGCCAGCATACCCAGCTTCTCTGCCCCATTTTGTGATGATTTGTGCCACAGCCCTGTTCTCTGTCCTTCTCTGGCCAAGGGCAGGCAGGGTGGGTCCGGGCTGGCAGAGATGCGCCCATTGCCCAGGAGTACTGGGCTGTGTCTGAGGCGGGCGTGGAGGATACAGCAGTGGCCACTGCCTTGAAAGAGGAGGCTGCTGCTCGAGGTTCCCAGGAAGAAGGGCACACATGGGCCTCAGGAGGGAGAAGGGGCAGGCTGTGTGGGGACAACTCTGCTCACTGTGTGTGACTTACATAAAGGAGGGCTGGGGCTTGGGCTCTGGGCTGTGGGGTCCCTGAGAAAGGCCTGTCCAGGGCAGGCTGTTCGAGGGCTCTAGGAATTAGCTGCATAGTGACTGTCAGCCCGGGCTCAGCACGGACCTTGCTGTGTGCTGAGTGTGCTTTTGACTCTGCTTAGATGATTGTCACCAGAGACATGTGATGCATCTGTGACTCTGTTTGTTGAATTTTTTGCCAGGGTCCCACCTCTGCAGGTGCACTACAAGCTTCCATCGCCAGCTCCGGTGTCCCAGCTGCCTGGCAGAGCAGGGAGAGGGGGCTCCCCTGGCCCTGGTAGCACCCGGGATGGGCCCCGGCCGCCCATCAGCATCCCGGGACTGCTGCAGAGGCAAAGCACAGGCCGGTGCCCTCAGACAGAGGGGAGGCCTGGCAGAGGAGCATTCAAGCCGAGTGCCTGAGCAGATGGCGTCCTGGAGGCCCAGGACTACGCGGGCCCTGGAGAAGTCGTTAGCCTTTCAGAAGCACCGTAGTGACTCATTCTTGTCTTACAGATACACCAGTCCTGCTCTGGAAGGGCTCCTGTGACACCTGAAACTTAAAAACATGTATTTAAAGGAATGAACTCCTACCCCAGCATGTTTCTCATGTGGCATTTGCATTCTTGTGTTCATCCTTGTGAGGTTAGCACCTGTCTCTTGTGACCCCATGTCTCCTGCAGGGCCTACTCCCTTCTGGGAGCTGATGCAGGGGAGATGAGCGGTCCGCGTGCTGCACCTCCCTCAGTGTCTCTCTTCCTGGTGGCTTGTGCTGCTCTGTGAAGAATGTGGCTGTTGCTCTGGCTGAGCTTGTCAAGTAGTGTAACTGAATAAAACAGTCTGGTTGTCTGGCCACCTCTCTGTGCTGTGTTTCAGCACCTCAGACCCTCCTGGGGCCCATGAGCACTGTGCACAGAGTCCCCGCTTTCCAGGAAGGCAGCAGCACAGCACAGCTCTGCCTCGTCCCTTGTGGGGTGGTATCGCTCCTGTGTCTACCTGCAGTGCCCATGCCAGCCTGGGGTACAAGCAGCATGCCCCAGCCCTCCCAGCAGGAGGTGCTCGCACTCCAGAGCCACCCATGGGGCTCCCCACCCAGGCTGAGAAAGGTGTGCAGAGCTAGTTTCATGCCTTCCTTCTGCATTTGCCTACAGACTGTTGAAGAGCTCCGGCTGGCCCACAGCAGCTGTGAGACACAGGCACACAGAGGAGCAGTGGCCTCTGCAGACAGGCCATGCCAGGGGGCCTGTTCCGTCACACTGGCCTCCAGAGCCCCTGGCCTTGGCCATGAGACTCCTGAGCTGGGGCTGCAGGAGGAGGGGAGCCCCATGTGTGCTGTCCTTTAGGAAGGCACTGAGAGTTTACTTCCTCCAGAACTGTGTGCTAGTCAGGCATTCGCAGTTCCTGTACTAACATACGGTTCTGTTGGGCCTGTTCCCCATTTCTAGGTGTTATCCCTAATTCTGATGTTTTCCCTGTGCACTGAATAATGAATATATGTTTATTTAAACACTGGAGTAGAGGCTAAATGTGAAATATAAATAGTAAAAATACCTTGGAGAGCGTCTGCCTCCAGCCTGTCCCGGGTCTGCCACGTGCCAAATGCAGGTGGACTTGCAGGGCCTGCGGGCCAGGCCCTGCCTGTGGCATTTCCCAGGGCTCCTGTGAGAGCCCTCGCTGCCAGATGCAGGCTGCCGGCCACCTCCTCCTCTGTCCCGCTCTCCGTGAGAGCTGGGTCCCAGGTCCCCGCTGGTTGTTGATCTGTGACTTGACAACCTCAGTTCCCACCACTGCTTCACACTGCTTTCTAGACAAAAGCCTCAGTGCTGTGTTCTCAGCCTGTGGTGCTCTGTGTTTCTTGTTTTTCACAGTTGAGCTGCAGTCAGCCGTTGAGGTCCGCCAGCCCTGGGGGAGTGGAGGTGACCACCCAGTGCCCACTGCCTGCCAGTCACTGTGCAGCGCAGGTCACAGCACCCCTCTGCCACACAGCTGCCAGTGGGATGTGCTCAGAAGGCTAGGGCTCTGGCACGTTTCTCACTGTAATTTTCTGACCTTGCTGTGCTTCTGAGTTTTAAGTAAGAAATTTTTGTCTGAGAAGGGACCCAGCCGGGAGGAATGAAATCCCAAGTTTGATTGATTAGTGGAGTCAGAATCAAGAATTAACAATGTTCTCTGAGAAATAACATGATTCTTGTCCAAACTGAACAAACAGGATTTCCTTCAGGATGTTTGCCACCAACAATGCTGCTATTTGTAAATGGAGTGGTAAAATGGTCACTTTAAGTGCAGTGAGAAAGTTAAATTTCATAGCTGGTCGACAGACAGCTAAAATCTTCTGTTTAACAGCAATGTCTGGCAGCCTCGTCCCACAGGAGGGCACTTGGTGGCATGGCCATGCTGCACCCTGGTGCTCAAGAGGACACCACACCAGATTCCTCTCCGTAAGAGCAGCTGTCTATTCAGTGCTGCTCTGTGCAAGCTTCGAGCAGCCGCAGGAAACTGCAGAGAGCACCCGGGAAGTTAGGTCAGTCTCTGGGCTCCTGGTGCGTGGCCAGCCCTCTACAGGGCACCAGCTGTGGGCACACTCATCAGCACAGGAATCCACTCTAGTCTCTGCTGCCTTCAGGAACTGGGTGCCTAGGACAGATACAGTGGGACCCGGCAGGCTTCTCGGGGGGGCAGACTCCCGTTCTGCTTTGCATAGTGGGCCCATCCCTGCTGTTTGTGCTTCATCCCTCATCCACTAAGTGTGATGCATCCAGCAGGGGCTCAGGGACTATCTGACCCCTCTTCTACCAGCTGGTTCCCGTTTAACACCTCACTTTCAGTGCCAGATTGCACCTGAGGCTGAGGGAGGAAATCAACTCCTTCTGGGGTCCAGCACTGGCCTGGACCTGGGGGGTGAGGGGGGTGCAGGTATCCCCAGGCCCCGCCCAGGCCTTGGAGGACTGAGCACCAGGCCACACTTGTCCCAGGAAAGATGGGTTTGAGGGATGCCAGCAGGGTCCCCAGTATGAAGCCTGAGGGTCAGGGCTTCAGGGGAGACTGGCTAGGGTAGGGCACGGGCATGGGGATGAGGAAGAGACCCTCGATACTCCACAGAAGGGTGCACAGTGTGTGGGCCAGGGCAGTGCCCCCCATACCTGGCTCCTGCCTCATGGACCTCCTCCTCCCCCAGGGAGTTGCTGCACACACAGCAGCCCTCAGGGAATTGCCCATTGACACAGGGCCAGTGAGGGGGCTTTGCTTTTCCTCCTAGGGACTGGTTTTAGTCCAGTTTTGTTCATGATTACATGACAAATGCAGGTGTTCTAGTCCAGTCTGCCACCAGGAAGTCTCAGAGCTCCAACCTGGACCTGGGTCCTCCATACACCCAGTTTTCTCCACATCTAACACAAGCAGGTACCCTGCGAGTGCCCTGTCTCAGGAGAAGGCCACGTGCCCTGCAAGGACTGGTCCCCACCACACTCATGCCGCAGTCAAGTCCACCCACGCAAAGTGCAGACCCCGCTGCGTCCAGGTCGGCTGCCCCTCCTCTGTGTTCCTGGCAGCAGACGTCTGCACGTCGGTCTGGCCACACCTCCTCTGCCCTTTCTTTCCTCCTCACTTTTGTCCCTGAGGCCCAGGCCCTGCTGGAAGAACGCTAGCCCTCTCCACAGAGCCTCTCGGCTTCCACATCAGGTCCCCTGTTCCAGGTGGCGCCTCGCATGGCTCTGTCCAGCAGCTGTCACCCGCCAGACGCACTCCCCACCGCTGCCTTGGCTCCCATCTCTCAGAGTAGAAATCGCCTGCCATGTGGCAGAAATTTCATTTTCAGCTTTAAATTTTCCATGGAGAGTGTAAAGTGCGGTATTAATTTACAGTTGCTAACTGCGCTTTTCATAGTGAAAGCACAGACAGCTAAGCATATTCCCCCCAAGCACACAGAGCAGACTACTGACCGCGCCACTGGGGCGGCATGGCGATTAACCTCACGGGATCGGCGCCGAGGACCTGGCACCTTCCCTCTGCAGCGGCACGTCCGGGTGGGGCCACCCTGCCTGGGGCCTGGCAGCGGGGACAGGAGCATGAGGAAGGCCTGGGCGGAGGGAGCGGGACCCCCCAGCCCCCCGCCTGCCCACTGCAGCCCCCATGGTGCATTTTGTTGGAAGAACGTTCCAGAAAACTCCAGATCCCCAGGATGATGTGGAGATGGATCCAGAAACCACTCTGCCACCTTGGGAGGCAGAAGTGTCCCCTGGCACCGCCCACCAGGACCCCCAAAGGCTGGCCCCTTGCCCAAGGACATGAGCGGCCCTGAGACATCACTGCCACTCCCCTACAGGACAGAAATTCCTTCAAATCTGAGCAACTATAAATATGGAGGGAGGTTTTGAACAGGTTTTCTTTTCAGACTAAAAGGAAATTCCTAAAATTCTTAGGTGGTAAATCCAGGCCTTCACTCCAGCTCACTGGTGCTGACACTGGACGGAGATGGCAGGGCATTGGCCCTGGAGGTGCAGGTGGCCCTGCAGCCTGACACTGTCCTCACTGTCCCACCCCGGGCCCGCCAGGCCCTCCGAGAGGTTCTTGGCTAATCTGTCTCCATAGCCCAGGAGAGGCACCCACGCCCCTGAGACAGCCCAGCTCCGCCAAGGGAGCCCCGCCATGTCCACCCACTGTGTCCGCGTGTCTTCTGTGATTTCCATTCTGCCAGGAGCATCATGTGCAGAAATGGTGCAGCACCAGTGTGGGTGGGACAAGCCAGTTGCTGAGACCCAGCTTCACTGTGGTGCGTGCTTTGTGCATTTGCGTCATCCTCTGGGCTTGCATACTCAAACTCTTGTACACACACTACACACGCAGTTCATTCTGAACCCTCAGTGGCTGCTGATTTCATGGCCCCTGTGCAGCCCCGGGGATGAGGACAGCACTCACGGGACTAGAGGACAGCTCTACCCGAGCCTGCCCGGCCGTGGGCCTCTGGGCCAGTCCAGTGGGGAGCTGTGCTCTGGGAGAGGCCCCTGCACATTCCCACAGCCGGGCTGTGTCTCTGACAAAACAGGCCCATTTCTCACCGTTTCTGGGTAGCCAGAGCCAGGAGGGCACAGGCCTCTGGGAGAGCACTGGGTCTGGCACCCCCTCTGGCGATGTCCCTGTAGGCACTGAGTCTACACAGCACTGACAGGAGCAGCACGGCCTGGCTCCGGGTTTCTTTACACCGTGTCAGGGGGTCCCAGGCTCTGGCAAGAAAGACAGTGCTGCACATCCCCGTTTAGGCCAGCCACCTGGGCCCAACTTGGGCCATCCGGGTCATAGGAAAAGAACCCACTCCAGCTACTGGGAAAGAGCCCAAGGCTCTGACGTCCACTGGTTTCAAGAGTGACCACCCAAACCCAGGGAGGCACAGAGCTGATACGGGCGGGCCAGCCTCTGCCGGGATGGGAGGGCCAGAGGGCCCAGCTGGGATCGCCATGCTGGGTGTGATGAGAAGCAGCCAGGGCACAGGTGTGGTGCTGACGGCCTGTGCAGGCAGCGTGATGAGCAGAACCCACACGTGGCCACATGTGGGGAGCATGGGGTCGGCTGCCATTGCAGCGACGCTCCCTTCGTGCCTTCCAGGGACCCCCATGTGGTTCCTCTGATTTCCCTAAAACTGGCTGTGGCCGGGAGTGTAGCTCAGTGATGACGCCTGTACCTACACTCAATCCTTAGCACCATGTAAAAAATGTGAAAGATCAAAAAACCTTATTTAGGGCCGGGGATTTAGCTCAGTGGTTTCTCCGCCTGCTGCGCAAGTGCAAGGACCTGAGTTCAATCCCCAGTACCAAAAAAAAAAGCAAAAAACCTTATTTATTACCTAATGTATTTCACTGGAAGCAGCAACTTGGGGAGGTGGAAGGGATGGGGTTCTCATGGTCTGCTCTGCTCCCCGGTGCCATCAAGAGGCAGCCCACGGCTGCTGCAGAGGGTGCGCTCTGGGTCCTGGGCTTGATGCTGGGCCCTGCCCCACAGTGTCCACCCAGGAGGTGAACAGAGCCCATGTGACCCCA